GGTTTGCTGACCATCTTGGGTGTTCCTTGGCTTGTAAACATGCCACCCTGATCTCTGCCTTCGTCTGCACATGGCCTTCACCCTGTGTGTTTCTGTCTCTGTGTCCAGATCACCCCTTTTTATGAGGACACCAGTCATAGAGGAGGAGCACCCACCCTAACGACCTCATCTTAACCTGATAACATCTGCAAAGACCCTATTTCCGATTCACAGGTAGCAGGTGTCAGGACTTCAACACATCTTTTTGGGAGACTCAGTTCAACCCACAACAGGGCTGCGAGCATGTGACTTTAACCTCTCTGTGCCTCAATTTCCTCTCCTGGAAGGTTGGGAATGGTTATATATTGCTCCTTGGTTTATAAGAGGATTAAATGAGCTCAAACAGGTCAAGCATCTGTCCATGTCTGTCACTGTGCTGGGCACTGTGTCTCATGGCCAGAGGCCCCTAAGTCAGAGAGCCAGGGCCTGGGCAGATGCAGGTGTTGTCGGCAGCGTCTGAGATGGAGCGGCTGCCTTGGCACTGAAGAGTCTCAGCTTCTTCTCCCTGTACATCCCTGCCCCTCTCCCTCACCTGTCCCCATCTGAGCCTGCTCCTCCTGATGGCTCAGTTTTTTCCTTCTGCTGGCCGGTGCAGGCTTTCACTCCCTGGGCTATATTTAGCCCCGAGAAATGGGAATAAGAAGCTCTCAGCCACCGCAGTGGTGGAGGGGAGAAGCACAAAGCCAGTCCTGCCTTCTGTCCATCCATGATCTGCTGACTCCATTCTTCTTCCAGAACCTTTCAGAAGCAAAGCATTGGAACTTTGAGGCTTGTTAAAACAAAGGTGCAGGCTGGAGACGGCTCATTCATTGTCCCCAGAATCTGTCTGTGTCTGTGATTCAAGTTGGCTTTTTTCGTTTGTTTTATTTTCAGTTTTTTTATTGTGGCAAAATACATATAACATCTTAATCATGTTAAGTGTATGGTTCTGTGGCATTAAGTCCATTCCCATGTTATGCAATCATCATCGCTGTTTATCTCCAGAACTTTTTCATCGCTTCCAACTAAATTGTCCCTGTTAAACACTAACCCCCCATTCCTCCTCCCCGGTCCCTGGGACCCACCATTCTACTTTCTGT